CTTGCTATATAACCAAGGCTGGTCTCTAACTGCCTACATCCGCCTTCTGAATTCTACGATTATAGGTCTGCACCATCATTTCAGGTCTCTATCATGTCTCATTGAAGCACAGGACAATTTGTGGAAAAGCTGTTACAGTTCCAACCATGGGTGGCCACACCTAGCTTTTTTCTTGTGTGAGTGTTGGAGATTTCAACTCAGGTCCCTTGTTTTCACAGCAAGTGCTCTTATGCACTGAGCCATCTCCCCAGACCTTCTAAAGGAAGTCTTTGATCCATGTATGCTCTCAAAGAGAACCTTGGGACTCCAGCTGCTTGTCTTAGTTTACTGCTTCTTTGGTACCATAGGTAAGAAGTTTCCTCTGTCACATCACCTTCTTTCTCCAGGGGCCCCCAAACAGTAGAACAATAGGACATGGACTCAAACCTCTTCTCCCATTCTTTTTTCTTTTGAGACAGGATCTTGTGCACATACTGACTATGCAATCCAGGTTGGCCTGGAATTCAGGACAATTTTCCCATCTCAGCCTTCTGTTTTGGAATTACATGTGAACACCACCACACCTGGCAATCTTCCCTCTTTTTATATTATATCAGACATTTTGTAATAGAAGACACAAGCGTACAAAGGCCTTGTCAAAGTTACTGTTTTATTTCTGTGTTCTCTACATGACCAACTCCTCTTTCCTGAAGGCTTTATAGCTGTCATGTTTCATTCCTATTTTGTGGCTATAAATTATATTATTTATTTTTATTGGTTTTGATTTTTTGAGACAGGGTCTTATGGATCTCAGGATGGCTTCCAAATCATAGCTGAGGATGACCTTGAACTTCTTTAAAAATATCATGCATCGTGTTGTATTAGTTACTATTCTATTGTGGATAGACACCACACACCAGTCAAATCAACTTGTAAAACAAAAACAACTACTGACGGAGGGGCTTGCTTAGTCCATGGGCTTAGTCCATTTCCATTATCAGGAAGCATGGCAGCACACAGGTAGGCATGGTGCTGGATCGATAGCTGAGCGCTTACTTCTGATCCACAAGATGGAGGCAGAGAGAGAGATCAAGCCTAGGTTTGGCGAGAGCTTTTGAAAGCCCACCCTTGTGACATACATCCTCCACCAAGGCCGCCTCATCCTTCTTAAGCAGTCCACCAACTGGGAACCAAACATTCCCTGGCTAGCTTAGAACTCACGCTATAAACCTGACTAGCCCAGAACTCACAGAGAGCCATCTGCCTCTGCGTCTCAAGTGCTTGGCTGAAATGCAGGCACCCTATTAATCTTTTGTTGGTGGTATACTTTTATTTTTGTTGCTGTTGTTGGCTATTTTATTTTATTGGGGTTTCTTATATCTCTTTCTCCCTTCTCCACTTCAATCCCTTCCAACACCCCAACGCCAGGTAGGAGAAAATGAAGGTTACTGGGGAGAAGAGGCATAGGCCTCTTAGCTACTCCCAGTTGGTTAGGGTCATAGGGTTCCTTGGGGCATGTCCAATCTTCCTTTCATGATATCTCCAACTTCTATCTTATCAGGCCGAATTAACACCAACGGGGAGGAGGAGGGGGAAGTAGCAGCCCTCCACCCCACCCCTCTCTGTGCTCTGGCATTTATTTGTTCTCCAGAGTCCTCAGAACTAAACTGTCTATAGCTGGCAAAGATCATGCCCTTCTCAGAGCCTGCACAAGGCAAATAGTCGGCTGCTGTGGACGATCTGGAGCAGCCCCGTATCTCCCACCTGGGAGTTTTTAAAGACACCGAAACTTCTGCCACATTGCTTTTTTCTCTGTTTTGAATGTAGTAAATAGGGTTCTAAAGGAGCCTTTCTGTATTTGTACGCGTGTGTGGGTGCACACACATGCACGCGTGAGTGCATGTGCGAGCAGCGGCCACCTCAGCCTAACTGCCCCAGGCACTGGTAAACATTTTTTTCTCTCACTAGCCTGCCCCCCCTTAAGCCATAAGTCAGCTAGGCTGGCTGAGAGCCCAGGGAACCTGTCTCCATTTCCCAGCAGGGCTTCCAATAACAGAACCAACAATTCCAGATTTCTGCTTACTTCAAATTCTTGTTTCCAAGTTCCCATCAGTACTCCTCAGCCTTTGTTTTTCAGGTAAAAGGGGCCGGGTGGTGGTGTGGGCTGCTCTTCCAGAGGACCTGGGTTTGGTTCTCAGTACCCACATGGTGGCTCAGGACTGTTTATAACTACAATCCCAGGGGATTTTATGGTAATCTTCTGACTCCCATGAGCACCAGGCCTTCACTGTGGTGCCTGGACATACAGTCAAAACACTCATACACATAAATTTTTTTTAAAGGAACTAGAAACATGCCTACCTCGTATGCTTTAGAAGCATATCAGATAATCCACTTGATTACTTAGTATCATACCCAGCACAAACATTTTTCATATTTTTACTAGGTTTTCTGCGCTCACATTCTGAGTTTTCCTTAGTGCATTTTCTCTCCTTTCTCATAGCCACAGGCTATTTCATAACCCACAGACTCTAACACATCATTGAAGACAGTGGTTCTTAACTTGTGGGTTGCAAACCCTTTGGGAATGGTCAAACGACCCTTTCACAGGGTAGACAAAGACCATTGGAAAACACAGATATTTATATTACAATTCATAAAGGCAGCAAAGTTATAGCTATGAAGTAGCAACAAATAAATTTACGATGACTTGTGCTAGGAGCCATTGTTAGAATTCAAACCTGGGACAAATGGCTGAGGTGCCTATTTAATATATCAAAGAAGACCTGGCTACCAGGTTCTCCCAGCAACCCTAAGTCTCTGCCTGTTACAGAGCCCTCCAGGCTTGCATGACCGCACCTCCTACCCCAAACTTCTCCACCTGAGGGGCTGGGTTGCCCTTCACAGCTTCCTTTCCCTATATAATCCAACCATTTTGGTTACATGGCTCCTTTGTGTACTCATATATATATATATATATATATATATATAACTTATATATATATACATATAACTTATTTCATTATGTGTGCATTGATATGAGGTTGTCAGGTCCGTTGAATTGGAGTTACAGACAGCTATGAGCTGTGATATGGGTGCTGGGAATTGAACCTGGCTCCTCTGGAAGAGCAGACTGTTCTTAACCACTGGGCCATCTCTCTAGCCCTTATCTACACTTTTTTGGGCTCCCTGGCTGCTACACCTGATTCCCCTCTCTTCCCTTTCCTTTCCCCTCCCTCTCTCCCTCCATGGCCCAACTCAGTCTGGTCACATCCACTCTGGACTCTCCCAGATGTCCCTGCCTCTCCCTTTTATCTACATAACCTTTCTCCTCCACCATATCTAGGACCAGTCACGTTCCTTTCCTTTTTCTTTTTCCATTCAGTTGTGGCCTGTGTTTTGGTAGACCTGCCTGGGAAAGCAGCTGCACTGTATTGCTATAGCCTTAGGAAATTTAACCCTTAACTAAACAGAAGTCTCGTGAACTGAGTTGGAGAAATGGCTTTCCAGTAAAGGGCACTCATTGCTTTGGCAGAGGACACACGCGGTAGCTCACTCCAGTTCCTGTAGATCTGACCCCTGAAGGCAGCAGACATGGGTTTGTTACTGTTGTCAACTTGATAGAATCTAGAAACACCTAGAAGGCCCTCTGGGTACGCCTGTAGGGGGTTGTATTGGTTTAATTGATGTACGGACACCCATCTTTAATTGTGGGCTGTATGAATGGAGACAGCTGAGAACAAGCATGCACGATTCATCGCTCTTGGACGTAACTACCTTTAAAGTTCCTGCTGCTGCGACTGTTCCCCTGTGACGGATGTAATTTGTAGTTTTGAGCTGAAATTAACCTTTTTGCCTTTGCTTTTGTGGGTTATCACAGCAACGGGAAAAGAAATGGAAACACCCAGCAACCTCTTTTGGGACACCTCCACTTTCAGGGCCCTTACTCTATGGATAACCCAACTCCTTTAGGGATTACTGAGTTCTCTGAGCCGCTAAGTGGATCGTTCTTCCAGTTAGCAAGTAAGTCTTGATTGCCAGGCTCAGCCCTAAGTGTTGGCACAGGTCTATAATTCCAGCACTCAGGGTTCAGAGGCAGGAGAATCACGAGTTCCAAGCTAGGTCAAGGGGTACAGCAGAGAGAGCTCCAGGCCAGACTGGGCTATATAACTAGCCCTTTTTCAGAAAAACCAACAACCCCCAAAGCATAAAAGTCCTGCATTAAAAACAAACAAACAAACAAACAAAACAATCCAGGCATAGGCTGGAAAGATGGCTCAGAGGTTAAGAGCACTGGTTGCTCTTCCAGAGGTCTCGAGTTCAATTCCCAGCAACCACATGGGGGCTCACAACCATTTATGAGAACTGGTGCCTTCTTCTGGCCTGCAGACAGATATAATAAATCTTCCCCCCACAAAAAAAAAAATCAAATTAAGAAAATTCAGTCATTTAAGATGTTCCTTTCGCCTCCTCCCTTACTTGCTATAAACCCTCGTTTTTATGCGAAATTTAAACATTTAGAATTCTTTGCCAGGGCCTCGGTAACTAGGGAGATTCTCAATCAGAAGCTTCGCCATCGACTTCCGGTCTGCTCGTCACCTAGAAGGAGCGCGCGATCACCGGGTCCGCAGGGATCTGCCGCAGCGTCAGCCCGCGGCGCGCACTGCGGGCACCTTAAACGAACAGACCGAACGAATGAATGAATGGGCTAAGTCGGGGGCCGGCCTTTGTTACGTCGCCCACCGGCGCAGGCGTGGTCGCACGTACGCCGCTCAAGGAGGCCGGACTCCCAGTCGCACGCAGAGTCTGCAGCGGGCGAAGAAGCTCGGCGCCGCCTCGCGCCGCCTCCCCCCCAAGTCCCTGCCCCGCCGCGGAGCGTCACTTCCGCCACCCCCCGGCTGGGGTTGGGGCGGGGAGCGCGGGGGAGGGGGCCGCCAAGCCGGAGGGAAGGCCGCCTGAAGCCCGCTCCGAAGCAGGGACTACATTTCCCGAGGGGCCTCGGCGGCGGCGGCGGGCGCGGCCACGTCCCCCGGAAGTGGAGCCCGGGACTTCCACTCGTGCGTGAGGCGAGCGGAGCCGGAGACAAGAGCAGAGGCCGAACTCGGGATCTGACAAGATGGCCGGGCTGCCCCGCAGGATCATCAAGGTAACCGCCCGGGCGGGCTTCGGGCCTCCAGCTCTGCTCTCCTCCGCCAGCGCGCCAGGCCGCGCGGCCATCTGCTCTCCTCCGCAGCCGCCGAGAGGCCCGAGGCAGCGCGGAGACGGGTCTGGCCTCGGCGGCGAGGAAGTCGGGCGCTGAGGAGGGGGCGCCCCGGACACTTCCGGCCGCCTCGGAACGCCGGACCCCGGGGGCTCCCGGCCGCTGAGGCTGCGGCCAGCGAGGCCTGGCGGCTGCCCGGCCGGAGGGCGGGGCTGCGGGCCTGGGCTGTGGCGCGGGACCGGCGCGGGCCTCGGCGGTGTGTCTTCGCCCGCGGGGCGGGAATCGCGGCGTGGCCTGGGCTCTTGGGCGCGGGTTGGGGGCCAGGCCCGTCGCTCTGGCCCGGAGTCGCCTTCTCTGGCTCGGCCGGGGCGCTGGGCCGCGGCAGGCTCCGGTGCAGAATGAATGAACCGGCCCCGGGAGCCGGGCGGGGCCGCGCGTCCTGCAGCCGACCGCACATGCTCGCGCCGGCCGCTCGCACTCGGCGACGTCGGGGGTTCGGCGCCCGGTGGCCCTGGCTTCCGCGTTCGCTTCCCTGTGTTTCTGCTGGTTATCACCGCAAAGTGATTTGACTCTGCTTGGCGAACTCTTTGAGACTGTTTCCTGTTCGGAGGCGCCAGTTCAACGCAAGGCTGCTGGAGGGCCTCGGCTACGCGGATGACCTGTGAAATCGCTTGCCTGTCAGTTTTTGTGCGCCTCAGATATTAAGCAGCCCCGAGGCACAGTGCGAATACTGTGTTTTTGTAGGTACATATGGAACCATGAAAAAAACCCCAAACAAACCGCACTCGTATCGTGTTTTTCTAAGTCTTTACATAACACCACTGAGTCTTCAGACTCGATAGGTACTATAAACTAAACCCTAATGTTTTTTGGACATCTATTTTTATGAAGGGAATTGTCTAAAAAAAATCCGCTCTGCGCAGTGTGCCAGCGAAGTGCTCAAATTGGAGCTTCATTTTGCTTGCTGTGATCGGGTGAACGTGTATTTGTAGCAGTGTTCACTGGCAAAGTTTAAGGCGAGATTTGTACTAAGTAAATGGAGGGCCTTTTTGAAGGGCGTGGTATACCTTGTAGTCCCTTCAGGCAGTCCCAAATGTGTGTGAGGTTGGGGTGTCGTTGACAGAAAGGTGCTTGAATTCGAACAAGACCTTTTATAAGATTAAAAAATCTCAGGAGGGAAGAGTAAATTGTCAGTGAGCACTGGAGTAGTAACATGGACATTTATTGCTATGATATGACTCTCAGATCCTTTCCAAGTAGCTTTAATTGTTAGGTCGAGCCCTGGAAGGCCCTGACTACAGTTTGTGTGGTTGTGATAGAGACACATGCCCACTAGTGATCTTGGTATTCAGAATTCCATTTGAAAAATGGCTGCTTCCCACCACAGACCATTGAGTTTTTTATTTATTGTTACTTTGGTTATGAACTAAACATAGCAAAGACTGATACTATAATTATCTAAAATGCTCAGTAAACTAAACAGTTGGTGTAGTTTTTCGTTTTTTCTTAATTTTGAAGATTGATATTCTACAGTAATATGAAAGTCTTGGGTGGGAAAACAAATTCTGTGGACTACTGGTTATAACCTACACAAGTGGTTTATAAAGCAGAATGTTGAACTACACCTACTTCAATTCATTTGGTACACTATGCCTAACTATACATTCAGTGTTGCTTTTTTGCTATTTTAAAACAAGATAGCGGTAAACTCACGCTGTAATACATAATCTTAACTTCACAGTACTTTATAATAGTTATTATTAATTGGCTTTAGTATTTTTAGCTTTAAAGGACTTTTTTTAATCACTAGGGCAGATTAAGAGATCAGATTTTTTTTTTTTTACCTGTTTTTTGTATTAACAGTAAGATTTTTTTTTTTTTTTTTTTAGTGTTGGGAATTGAATTGAAATTAGTTAGGGCTTTATACATGCTATGCAAATGCTTTACCACTGACTAACACCCCAAGCAGAAAACATACATTAAAATTCATTTTAAAACTGGGTGGTGGTGGTGGTGCATGCCTTTAATCTGAGCACTCAGGAAGCAGAGACAGGTGGATTTCTGTGAGTTCAAGACCATTCTGGTCTATAGAGTGAGTTTCAGGACAGCTAGGGCTACACAGAGAAACCCCGTCTCAAGAAACAAACAAACAAAAAAACCTTTTTTCTTGTGTGTGTGGTGAAGTAACTTTAGGGCTGGAGTTGTGGCTCAGGTAGAGTACTTGCCTAGCATGCTTGAAACCCTGCTGAGTTTCATCCTCAACACTGCACATAAGCCAGTCATGTGCCATTTTATTTATTGAGACAGCGTTTCTCTGTAGTGCCGGCTGTGGTGGAACCTATTCTGTAGACGAGGTTGGCCTGGAACTCAGAAACCGCCCGCCTTTGCCTTTCTGGGTTGCTGCCTTTGCCTTTCTGGGTTGAAAGGTGTGTGCCACCACACCCGTCTCAGTCATAGAGTTACATATTTATAATGCCAGTGTGATAGAGGCAGAAGGGTTTGGAAGTTAATCATCTTTGGCTCTTGGGGGGGTGAGGCTGGCCTAGGACTGAGACCTTGTTTTATACAGGTTACTGCTATACAAGGGTCTGTGTGACTAGAACAGTGGGTGGGAGTAGTTGAGGACATAGGGACATAACATTCTATTGTGTTATTTCATTTCTTGGTAGCTGTTGGCTTTCAAAGGATGAGGCTTACTATTGATTATATTAATAATAACTTTTGTTTTGTTTTTAAATGAAACAAGACCTTACGGTGTAAATGTTGGCCTCAAACTCAGGTCTCCCTGCATCTGCCTTTGAGTTCTGGGATTTAAGGTGTACTACGCATCATACCATTACCGTATTTTGTCTCACAAATACTAAGTAGTTTAATTTAGACAGTTTGGTTTGGGCAGTCATTAAAATGGTGCTTTCTACCTCATGATGGTCATATTTGTGTTTGTTTTTTGTTTTTCGAGACAGGATTTCCCTATGAAGCCTTGTCTGTACTGGGTTCTTTTTGTAGATCAGGCTGGCTTTGAACTCACAGAGATCTGCCTGGCTCTGCCTCCCACTGTGCCAGCCATATTTTTTTCCTTTCTAAAGCCATTTGATCCTTAATGAAATTTTGTGAACTAGACATGTTTCACAGAATCGTGGCTGATTCAGATAAGACTTTTCTATGGTATTAACACTGTAGGTGTGACCTTCCTGTGTGTTATTTGGAAGTGACAGAAGGTATGTACCAATACCTTGATAATGATAAAGTGCAAGGCAACACCCTCCCCTTTTCATTTTAGGCAGGCTTTTACTTTGTAGCCTTAGTTGGCCTCAAAATGGTCTGCTTGCCTTTGCCTCCTGATTGCTGTTATTCTTAAAGGTTCATGCCTCCATACCCATATGAAATGACTTTTGAGTTACTGTTCATCCAGTTGCTACCCTCTCAGATTTCAGTGTTCAGTCCATTAGAAATTCCGGAGGCTCTACTTTCTATGTTGGGTACATTTTCCCATTTGAAGGAAGCCCCTGGTCAGTTCTGTCATTTGTTGCTTGGTCTGTTGCAGTAACTTGTCTGTAAGCAGCAGGCTATCTTTTAAAAGTGTTCTTTTTAAAGATACAGATCATGTTATTGTATTGCTAAAATCTACAGTGGTTATCATAATAAAATCTATAACATCTTGACAACCCCTTCTTCACCACAAAGCCCTACAGGTATTTGGAATTAGCTCTTGTACTTGACTGAGGCTATTTTCCTACAGTTACTGTGTTGGCTTTGCACCTTAGACAATGAATGGTTAAGCTTATTCCAGTCATGGGCTTCACTGCTGTGTGTTGGATTACTCATTTTGCTATTGTGTTTTGTTTTTTTTTTTTTCCTCACACGTCCTGGCCTTCTAGTGGTCTACCTTAATTGTCTTGTTTCTGTGTCCCCATAATCCCTCCTTTTTCACTGTACAGCATTTAACACTGCTTAAAGCTGTATTATGGCTTTGGGTAATCCTGGCATTGCTCATTAATGCCGAGAATCTTTGGCGCTTATGTGATACACTGAAATATTAATTGACATGAGATTTGGAAAAAGTTTTACAAGAGCTGTGATTCTGCATTATAATTTTATATTGTTAGTATGTTGAACAGCATTCATTTGATATCTCACATTTTCTTTATTCTTTGAACACAGGATTTTATGTGAACCAAGCTGGCCTCAGACTTTTGTAGCTGAGGATGACCTTGAACTTTCTGCCTCAAAATGTGCCATTGTAGCTAGTTTTATTTGATGTTAAGTATTGAACCCAGTGTTTTCATGCTAGGCAGGGACTCTGCCAACTGATCTAACTCCAGCCATGAAACACCCTTCTTATGTTCCTCCCATGTTCATCAAACACTGAGACCAAATCAGTCAGAGGCTCTAAATGGTACATAGAGAAGATAAAGATTCACACATCTGCCTTTCAGCATTCCAGACATTCTCTACTACAGACAAAGCAGTGTTTTATTTGTGTGTCCTTTCAGAAAGACCACACTAATTCAGTTCCTGTGTGTTCTGCTGCCTCTTCCCCTACTCATGCAAATACTTGATATCCTCTCCACCCACCTGGCTAACAATTTACCTTCAAGATGACTCACTTTTTATAAAGCTGCTTTGTAGGATTCTATTTATTGGTAGCTTTTAAATTGTGCCCCAAATTGTGTTACCCAATATTAATCATTTCAATAGTTTTGTTTATGTGGCTTTTGTGTGTGTGTGGACTGTTTTCACGATCACCCTTCTCCCCAGTGCTGCTTTTTTTTTTTTTTTTTTTTTTTTACAAGTTCTTAAGTACGCCAGACTAGCTTCAAACTTGAGATCTTCTTGGTTCAGCCTCCAGAATGCTGGAATTACAGGGTGTGTACCACCATTTTTGACATCGGAATTTTTCTTAGTTTAAAGCTAACAAAGGCCACTCAAAAGTATTCCAAAAGGAG